GTCTATTGACATCAGCGAGCTTAAAGAATGGACTTTGTTTAGGATTGCACTGGAAGTCTCTGTGGACATGTCTCAACATAAACTTCTCATGTTCTATCTTGGTTCCTTAACATACTACTGGAAATATGCACCTACGAGTTTCCGGTCGGCACGGCGCGGCGACGGGTGGATCTCGGAGGTCTCTGAGACGCCCGAGTCTTTTCGGTCTTCGTTCGGGCTTCCCGGGTGCCAGGAAAGTCCCACCAGATTCGTGGCACCAGAACAGCGCAAAAACATGATTCCAAAGGTCGGATCCTCATGAATTCATATGATTTCTGTACTGCAATGAAATAAAACCAGCATCATACTGTAGACCATGTCTAAGACTATAGGAAGAACTACAAAAATCATGCCCCCACGAATTCGTGGCACCACAAAACTGCAAAAACATGGTTTCAAAGCACGGATCCTCATGGTTTTTTAAGTGGGTCACCCCAAACACATCAACAAATCACATAACACATCCACGTCCACTGTTTGCACCACAAAAATCACAGATCCACGACTTTGTGGCAACACCATTCTGCAAAAACATGGTTCTGGAGCACGGATCCTCATGGATCCTAGGGGGGGTTGCAATGGGTCACCCCAAACACAACATCAAATCACATATCATGTCCATGGCCACAGCCTACACCACAGAAATCACGGTGCTACGGCTCTGTGGCAACACCATGCTGCAAAAACATGGTTTTCACCCACGGAAACTCATGGATCCTTATGATTTTTGCATTGTGGCAAAAACCATTAAATAATATGCCTTGTCCACGGCCACAGCCTGCACCACAGAAACCACGGCACCACGGCTCTGTGGCAACACCATGCTGCAAAAACATGGTTTTCACCCACGGAAACTCATGGATCCTTATGATTTTTGCATTGTGGCAAAAACCATTAAATAATATGCCTTGTCCACGGCCACAGCCTGCACCACAGAAACCACGGCACCACGGCTCTGTGGCAACACCATGCTGCAAAAACATGGTTTTGACCCATGGATCCTCATGGATCCTTACGATTTCCGCACTGTGTCACCCCAACGTCACCATTAAATAATATGCCTTGTCCATGGCCAAAGCCTGCACCACAGAATTCACGGTGCCACCCCTCTGTGGCAACGCCATGCTGAAAAACATGGTTATGACCCACGGATCCTCATGGATCCTTACGATTTTTGCACTGTGCCACCCTAACATCACCATTAAATAATATGCCTTGTCCGTAGACACAGCCTGAACCTCAGAATTCACGGTGCCACCCCTCTGTGGCAACGCCATGCTGAAAAACATGGTTATGACCCACGGATCCTCATGGATCCTTACGATTTTTGCACTGTGCCACCCTAACATCACCATTAAATAATATGCCTTGTCCGTAGACACAGCCTGAACCTCAGAATTCACGGTGCCACCCCTCTGTGGCAACGCCATGCTGAAAAACATGGTTATGACCCACGGATCCTCATGGATCCTTACGATTTTTGCACTGTGCCACCCTAACATCACCATTAAATAATATGCCTTGTCCGTAGACACAGCCTGAACCTCAGAATTCACGGTGCCACCCCTCTGTGGCAACGCCATGCTGAAAAACATGGTTATGACCCACGGATCCTCATGGATCCTTACGATTTTTGCACTGTGCCACCCTAACATCACCATTAAATAATATGCCTTGTCCGTAGACACAGCCTGAACCTCAGAATTCACGGTGCCACCCCTCTGTGGCAACGCCATGCTGAAAAACATGGTTATGACCCACGGATCCTCATGGATCCTTACGATTTTTGCACTGTGCCACCCTAACATCACCATTAAATAATATGCCTTGTCCGTAGACACAGCCTGAACCTCAGAATTCACGGTGCCACCCCTCTGTGGCAACGCCATGCTGAAAAACATGGTTATGACCCACGGATCCTCATGGATCCTTACGATTTTTGCACTGTGCCACCCTAACATCACCATTAAATAATATGCCTTGTCCGTAGACACAGCCTGAACCTCAGAATTCACGGTGCCACCCCTCTGTGGCAACGCCATGCTGAAAAACATGGTTATGACCCACGGATCCTCATGGATCCTTACGATTTTTGCACTGTGCCACCCTAACATCACCATTAAATAATATGCCTTGTCCGTAGACACAGCCTGAACCTCAGAATTCACGGTGCCACCCCTCTGTGGCAACGCCATGCTGAAAAACATGGTTATGACCCACGGATCCTCATGGATCCTTACGATTTTTGCACTGTGCCACCCTAACATCACCATTAAATAATATGCCTTGTCCGTAGACACAGCCTGAACCTCAGAATTCACGGTGCCACCCCTCTGTGGCAACGCCATGCTGAAAAACATGGTTATGACCCACGGATCCTCATGGATCCTTACGATTTTTGCACTGTGCCACCCTAACATCACCATTAAATAATATGCCTTGTCCGTAGACACAGCCTGAACCTCAGAATTCACGGTGCCACCCCTCTGTGGCAACGCCATGCTGAAAAACATGGTTATGACCCACGGATCCTCATGGATCCTTACGATTTTTGCACTGTGCCACCCTAACATCACCATTAAATAATATGCCTTGTCCGTAGACACAGCCTGAACCTCAGAATTCACGGTGCCACCCCTCTGTGGCAACGCCATGCTGAAAAACATGGTTATGACCCACGGATCCTCATGGATCCTTACGATTTTTGCACTGTGCCACCCTAACATCACCATTAAATAATATGCCTTGTCCGTAGACACAGCCTGAACCTCAGAATTCACGGTGCCACCCCTCTGTGGCAACGCCATGCTGAAAAACATGGTTATGACCCACGGATCCTCATGGATCCTTACGATTTTTGCACTGTGCCACCCTAACATCACCATTAAATAATATGCCTTGTCCGTAGACACAGCCTGAACCTCAGAATTCACGGTGCCACCCCTCTGTGGCAACGCCATGCTGAAAAACATGGTTATGACCCACGGATCCTCATGGATCCTTACGATTTTTGCACTGTGCCACCCTAACATCACCATTAAATAATATGCCTTGTCCGTAGACACAGCCTGAACCTCAGAATTCACGGTGCCACCCCTCTGTGGCAACGCCATGCTGAAAAACATGGTTATGACCCACGGATCCTCATGGATCCTTACGATTTTTGCACTGTGCCACCCTAACATCACCATTAAATAATATGCCTTGTCCGTAGACACAGCCTGAACCTCAGAATTCACGGTGCCACCCCTCTGTGGCAACGCCATGCTGAAAAACATGGTTATGACCCACGGATCCTCATGGATCCTTACGATTTTTGCACTGTGCCACCCTAACATCACCATTAAATAATATGCCTTGTCCGTAGACACAGCCTGAACCTCAGAATTCACGGTGCCACCCCTCTGTGGCAACGCCATGCTGAAAAACATGGTTATGACCCACGGATCCTCATGGATCCTTACGATTTTTGCACTGTGCCACCCTAACATCACCATTAAATAATATGCCTTGTCCGTAGACACAGCCTGAACCTCAGAATTCACGGTGCCACCCCTCTGTGGCAACGCCATGCTGAAAAACATGGTTATGACCCACGGATCCTCATGGATCCTTACGATTTTTGCACTGTGCCACCCTAACATCACCATTAAATAATATGCCTTGTCCGTAGACACAGCCTGAACCTCAGAATTCACGGTGCCACCCCTCTGTGGCAACGCCATGCTGAAAAACATGGTTATGACCCACGGATCCTCATGGATCCTTACGATTTTTGCACTGTGCCACCCTAACATCACCATTAAATAATATGCCTTGTCCGTAGACACAGCCTGAACCTCAGAATTCACGGTGCCACCCCTCTGTGGCAACGCCATGCTGAAAAACATGGTTATGACCCACGGATCCTCATGGATCCTTACGATTTTTGCACTGTGCCACCCTAACATCACCATTAAATAATATGCCTTGTCCGTAGACACAGCCTGAACCTCAGAATTCACGGTGCCACCCCTCTGTGGCAACGCCATGCTGAAAAACATGGTTATGACCCACGGATCCTCATGGATCCTTACGATTTTTGCACTGTGCCACCCTAACATCACCATTAAATAATATGCCTTGTCCGTAGACACAGCCTGAACCTCAGAATTCACGGTGCCACCCCTCTGTGGCAACGCCATGCTGAAAAACATGGTTATGACCCACGGATCCTCATGGATCCTTACGATTTTTGCACTGTGCCACCCTAACATCACCATTAAATAATATGCCTTGTCCGTAGACACAGCCTGAACCTCAGAATTCACGGTGCCACCCCTCTGTGGCAACGCCATGCTGAAAAACATGGTTATGACCCACGGATCCTCATGGATCCTTACGATTTTTGCACTGTGCCACCCTAACATCACCATTAAATAATATGCCTTGTCCGTAGACACAGCCTGAACCTCAGAATTCACGGTGCCACCCCTCTGTGGCAACGCCATGCTGAAAAACATGGTTATGACCCACGGATCCTCATGGATCCTTACGATTTTTGCACTGTGCCACCCTAACATCACCATTAAATAATATGCCTTGTCCGTAGACACAGCCTGAACCTCAGAATTCACGGTGCCACCCCTCTGTGGCAACGCCATGCTGAAAAACATGGTTATGACCCACGGATCCTCATGGATCCTTACGATTTTTGCACTGTGCCACCCTAACATCACCATTAAATAATATGCCTTGTCCGTAGACACAGCCTGAACCTCAGAATTCACGGTGCCACCCCTCTGTGGCAACGCCATGCTGAAAAACATGGTTATGACCCACGGATCCTCATGGATCCTTACGATTTTTGCACTGTGCCACCCTAACATCACCATTAAATAATATGCCTTGTCCGTAGACACAGCCTGAACCTCAGAATTCACGGTGCCACCCCTCTGTGGCAACGCCATGCTGAAGGCGGTTGCGGCCGGTATCTCCATCCGTGGCCCTTTGGTCGTTCCTGGTTCTGATGGCGGCGACATATAGTGAGGAGGCGGGAACCACCGAAGAGCAGGCGACCCGGGGCTGGGGCGACGAAAAGTGCCATTATTACGCGGGGGGCGAGGTGTATCCCGGAGAGGCATTGCGGATGCCCGTCACTGACCACTCCCTCCACCTCAGCAAGGCCAAGAGTAGGTGCCCCAAAGGCCCGTCGTCGCGCCGGGAAAGGCAACGGGGGAGGGGGGGACTCGGGGGAGTGCGTGAAGGGGGCGGGGAGGCACCACAGAACCCCGCTTCCCGCAAATAGCCGTGGCCTGAAAGCGAAAAACGGGGGTAACGGGTAGGAAGAAGACTAGAGCCGCCGCTCTCCCCTAGTCTCCTCATCCTCTGTCTTTTTCATTGCTGGAAAGAAGGGGGGGGGAACGCCCCACAACTGCAGTCTTTCTCCAGCTTCAATTTTAAGGGTGGAGGGAGGGAGATATAGCCATTCTTATACGGGAGACCCTGCATAAACGAACATCAAATTGTTTTTAAAACAATTTCGAAGAGTGGGGTTCCCTCCCCGTTAGTAGGGTGGTGAGAAGGGATTGAAACCAGCCGTATCAGTTCCTCCCCTTTTTTTCCAAACGTTTGCTTTTATTTGCCTAGACTCAGTTGATGGTAACGTTGAGCAAAGGACACGTCAGACAAAGCCTGTTGGTTTAAAATGGAGAGGGAAGGGAGAAAATTCAGACTCCTTTTTCCAGAAGGGAAAACATTCATGACTGGAGCCAAAATCAGATGTCAGTCAAAAGAAGCCTGAGATAGCAGAATGGTGTTTTGTACCAAAGTACATTGAACTTCACTTGTAAAATTTTATCCAAAAGTGCTGCTTTTTGAAAGAAATGCTGGATTAAATTGCCCTGGTAGAAATTTCCCACCAAAGTTACAGATGACTTACAAAGGCCATCATCATATAAAATAATATCATGCACAAGATTAGTACATCCAGAGGTTCACTTGCTGCTTCTGCTCCAGAATGCACAAGTCACTTTTTTATTTCAAAAGTAGCTTGCTTTTTCTGCAAAGTAGCAAGTGACATTGTGCATGTGCAGATCTTTTGTGGGCTTCTTTCAGTTGTGGCCAAAGGCTTTAGATTGTCACTGGAAACAGTGCAATAATTAAGTGTAAATTACTTATCTCTTTATCACTGAAAGACTTCTTTGTTTGTTTCTTTTATTCCTTGTCAGACTTGGGCTGGTAGTCATAAGCCTTCCAGAATTTTTGTTTTCAGTGGCATTGATAACTGGTTCAGGTTGCAAAACTGGGTGGCTGTAATTGAATATAGGCTAAAGCAACAGATTTTGCACACAGAAACATAAACTTATGCATGTCTGCAATATCATTTTTCAGCCACTTTACAATAATTTCTTCGCATATATCTTATTCTGTGTAGAACACGTCCATTGGGGGGAAAAATGAAAATTTACATCTTACGATTAACAAATAGTTCATGGAATAGATCTCTTCTTCTTTCCTTACACAGCCTCCTGTGCCTCTGGAAGTCTGCTGTTGAGGCCTGGGGAATTCTTGGGAACAGAATGGCATGGGGTGGCAGTGGGGACGCAGAATTAGGAGAAATCAACAGAAATCACCCCTCCTCTGCCAATTCACTGTTCTTGCTGTAGCACTCAGTGCTTTTCCCACTTTGTTCACTGGTAAACATCCAGGATTGTGTCTTTAAAGTGAAAAACATGTACTCATCCATCATGTGTACAGACGTTTTATAATTCTATTTAAAGCAGTGGTGGTTGTTTTTTAAATTTTTAGTTTCTAAACCAGCACCTGATTGGGAAGGAACTGCAGTCATCAATGGAGAGTTTAAGGAACTGAAGTTATCAGATTATGAAGGGAAATACCTTGTATTCTTCTTTTATCCTCTTGACTTGTAAGTAAAACTGCTGAAATATAATACATACATACCTTGACAGTATTGAATTTGTTGGTTATCGAGAGATTTAGCAGGTATTTGCTACTTTAAAAATCTGTACCAATTGCAAGGAATAAATAAACATGTCTACTTTTTGCATATAGAAAAATGTAAATTAAATAGTTTTGTCTGTAGAAGTCCCAATCAAACATACATGTTTTGCAAGTTTGTGCAATATATATCAGGTTAAAAATTAACCTCAGTACTTATATTTTAAAGCAATTGGGAGAAACCTTCAATCCCTTTAAGATTCTTGAATTTAAGCATTTCTGCTTCCATAGAGCACCAAGAAAAAAATGGGTTGACCAGTTTCCAAAAATGAAAGACAAATTCAGTAGTTTTAGTATACAGAAGATTTTAGATTTTATGATCATTACTTGCAGTTTTAGTTTAATATTTTATTCTAGTACTTGTTACAGCTGCACATAAGTCTTTAGTATGTTTTTCTACCAACAGGTCACACAGTATATTATTCTGGTATGTGAAAAGGCACTACAAGTACTGCAATTGCTAGCAGAAATATTTTGGATGCTGAATTCCTAATATAAAGGAAGAGATGCAATGATAATATTTTGATTTCTATCTATTGCAGAAAACTTGCATACTTTACAGAGAACACTTCACTGAACAGATTAAGTGTTCTCTGTAAAGTAGCTAATCAGGAAACTATTTTTGAGCTATGTTAAATTTAGAATTAATTTTCCATTTTTATATTTCAGCACATTTGTGTGTCCAACAGAGATACTTGCCTTCAGTGACAGAATTGAACAATTCAGAGCAATAAACACTGAAGTGGTAGCTTGTTCAGTTGATTCACAGTTCACCCATTTAGCATGGTATGTATGCTTGTTTTTCTTGTGCAAATTACTAGCAGTTGCTTGTTAGAATGTATGGCCAAAATAGCAAATGTTTTTAGAAAATACAGGTTCCTATGCGGTTGAACTGTTATACCTGTCATTAGGTGCCTGCAGCTGTTGCATGGGCATAGTTCTGTTCCCAGGAGGGAAAAAGGGGTTGGTTGCACAGTACATCTACACATGGAGTGGAGAGGATGAAAGTACAACTTGAAATGCAGTATATAACATGCAAAACTAGAAATTTTAATAGACATATTATATAGTAAAAATTAAAACATTTATTTATTTAAAATATTTCTTAGCCTGCTTTTCTCTAAGCACAGTTGGGAACCATATAATAACTATGAATATTTTAAAAAACAAAATGAAAGTCAGCAGGCTTGCATCTCGAAGCAGCTACTATGTCTTATGTGCCAATAGCCCAAGAAACACTGTTCACAATTAAAGTTGTCATCGGTAGTGTTTACATTTGTTACTTAAAATAAATGTATCTTAACATGATGCATTGGTCAAAAAAAGAACTTTAATACATTATGGCTGCGGTCACACGGAGCATTAGACACGCTAGAGGGACGGAAGATAGGCGGATTTTCTGGGCGCAATCTCACCGCCACATCTGGGAAGCGTCAAGCTCCCGTGGCGAACCCGAGGCTTCCCGCGGAAGATGCGCATTAAAAAACTAGTACCTTGGAGGTACTAGTTTCCTGAAACCGCGGGGCAAGGGCGGGCGTCTGATCGCGTTTCCGGTGGTAGTTCCGGCGCCCACCCATGTCCCCTCGGAAAAAGGTTTTTTAAAAGTTTCCATGGATGCACCCAAGCACCCAAGGGAGCATGCGCACATTTGAGGGTTGTTTTTTTTTAACCAACCCGTTTGCCCCGCGCCCCACTTTTTTGCTGCGCCGCAGGACTGTGGAGTGATCAGCACCTCTCCCCTACCACGGGACCTTGATCGGTAGGTCTGCTCGAGCAACCGCGCGGGTTTTAGCCCCGGGGCTAACAGCCACGTTCCCCCCCGCCGCCCCGCAATTTCCTGCCCGTGTGACCGGGACCTATATGTAATTTAAAAAATCATTGACATTAAGTCCGATAATCATACATGGCAATGTTTATCTTTTGTTAAGAATTTTTTTTCTCAATGCATAGGGTTGAATCTAGCCAGCTTTTTCAGGATTCAGCTGATTCACTTCGTCACTGCATACCTCTCAAACCCCTGTTGTGTTTTTATCCACAAGAGTCCTGTGACCCCCAACATTAGCTTGCGGGGGATCACAGGATGCTGATGGGGAAAGGAGAATGATGGCTAACCCAGTTCCACTGGTGAGACCTAGTCCATATATTGTGGTGAAAGCATCTTCCTCAAGTATTTGGTTGTCTTTGTACTGTAATAGGATCAATACTCCGCGAAAAAAAGGAGGGCTGGGACCAATAAAGATACCACTCCTTTCAGATTTGACACACCAGATTGCAAAGGATTATGGAGTTTATCTGGAAGATCAAGGTCATGCTCTCAGGTATAATTTTCATTGTTCTCTAGCATCCTCTTGCAATATATTACTGTTGTATTCCTCATGCCAGATTTTGTTTGGGGGGAGGGGAAGTAGCAAGGTTCAGGTAATTAATCTTACAACAGCAGTCTACTGGATCATCATAGCTACTAGTGTTCCCTCTAAGATGAGTTAGTGTGAGCTAGCTCACAATTTTTTAGCCTCCAGCTCACAGATTTTGGTCTTAGCTCAGGAAGTATGGCTCCAGAGCAGACTAATTCATGCAGTTGCCAAATCGCTCATTCACCACTTGAATGCCAGCAGCTCACCAAGTAGAATTTTTGCTCACAAGACTCCACAGCTTAGAGGGAGAATTGATAGCTACCTGGAATGTTTAGAGGTGGCAAGAAAACAGACCTTGTGTTTGGAGTTAGCAAATCAAACAGTTATTTCAGTGATCCAAAGGACTGCATAATGATATACAATTAAGCTCTAGAGCAGTGATAGCAAACCTTTTAGAGACCGAGTGCCCAAACTGCGACCCAAAACCCACTTGTTTATCACGAAGTGCCAACATGGCAATTTAACCTGAATACTGAGGTTTTACTTTAGAAAAAACAACTCATACATTAACTTAAGATGATCCAAACAAAGTAAGGAAAGCAATCCCAAATGCTTTCATTTACTTAAAATTATTTGGCAGAGAATTCGACACTTTAATGATGGTCTGGGCCTGGCTGGGGCGATGTCACGCATGCCCACAGATAGGGCTCTGAGTGCCACCTCTGGCACCCGTGCCATAGGTTCGCCACCACTGCTCTAGAGGAATCTCAAATATTATGATCTAGGTTCTTAGAGGACTTGGACCTGGCACAAATCAATATCTGAGCAGAGCAATGATTAACATATCCCTTGTTCACTTTTTTCACAGAGGCCTTTTCATTATAGATGACAAGAAATATCTTCGACAAATAACAATGAATGACCTACCTGTTGGCAGATCTGTGGATGAAACTCTTCGTCTAGTTCAAGCATTCCAGTACACTGACAAACATGGAGAAGGTGCTTGCTCCTTAAATATTTTAGTATTTGAAACATGTAATTGTAGGTACTGAACTAGCCATGCATTTTGTGGTAGTCCAGAATTTGGGCTCATTACAGTTTTTACTCCAAAGATTAGCAGTTCTAAAATTTTATAGCCTGCAGAGGGCTTTGAACTTCAGGTAATTATATCCCCCTATATATGATGAGTGGAAATTACTACAAAACCAGTGTGATAGCTGTGAGTACGTCCATTCTTCATTGGTCTGTATGGGTGTAACTTTCCTACCTGAAGTCATATGATACTGGAGAACTGGCCACTCCAGGCTTGCATTTTGACTTTAATTGGTCACAGTGCTCTACACTGGAGATCTTTTTGCTCAGTAATTAAATTTTTACATTTCCCACAACTTTCATCACACTTGTATGCAGGGTAACTTTTCTCCTGTCTGAAAACAAAAAGAAACTAAAAGCATATGAGAGTACAATGATGCCAATTATTAACTGATTACCTTTAGATCTTTGTTTTGAAATACCTTGTTATTTAGAATTCAGGACAGATTCTACAACAAAAAACTACGTAGCACTAAGCCAAGTCATAAATGAGTATGTTATAGTTAACAGAATTCTGAAGTACACTTTCTGCTTGTATGAATTTTGCTTCCAATACGGGAGTGAACTTTTTAGCCAATTCTTATAATACACATTTGCAGAAAAAGAGATGCTTTCTCATTTTAATAATAGATGTTTGGGTAGAATTGGTCTGATCTACAGAATAGGGATGTCAAGGTGGGGGTGAAGAGGATAGCTACCATATTAACTTATTTTGTTGTCTTTTCAGTATGCCCTGCTGGTTGGAAACCTGGCAGTGAAACAGTAAGTTGGGTTTGTTTATTTATTTATTTGTGTATTCATTTTTTTAAACTGCTGTTCACCCAAAGGGTCTTATTGTGACTTACAACATTAAAATCATATAAATGAGGTAAAAACAACATAAAACAGGTAACATATAAATTAAAAACATTAAAATGTTAAGCTATTACAACATATATATATGCACCATACCACTAACAAAAACAACCCAGATGTGGATTTTTTACCCCTACCAGCTTTATTAAATAATATTCTAGCCTTTGGTTTGATTGTGGGAACTAGGATCAAAGGCAGAGTTAGCAAGAGGTGGGGCAATAGTGAGATCTGGCTATCTGTGTTTATGGAGATAGTCCTTTTTTAAGACCCCTGGTAGAGTCAATAACCAGTCCGAATTATAAAGATAAATGGGTTTTATTAAGGAAAAATAATAATTTGGATATTTACATGCAAATCAAGGATTGCAAACATACAAGGAGATATAAAAAGGAGTTAACAGACAAATAGAGAGGATGGGGAAGATGGAGGTGATACTATACCTATCGATAGAGGTGATGAGGTCCAGAGGTTGTAGGGAGGAAGTGAGTGGACCTGACCAGCAAGACCATGCAGGACCTGAGTTATGATCAGTGGTAATAGTTTTGTGCCTGCCCAGCTATCACACTGGGCATGTGCAGGACTGAGTATATTTATACCCCAAAACGTATCCAAGGGTATGCTGAAGTATGGTGGCTAGTTTCACAGTGGGTTGATGGGATTCCCATTATGGAACAATAGCATGGTCTGGCATTTCCCAGGTACCAGACAATGGCAGTGATGTTCCTTAATGTGTGGTCGGGTGAACCAGAATGGGTGACCGTTCACTAGACATGAAGAGTTAATGTTTACCTTGATAGTCTGGCAGAGGTATCAGAATGCAGATATTTTAGACAAATATATGGAGACAGGAATGAGGATTATTCTGAAGGTATTTCCTGACATACAAGTGGAACAGGATTAGAGGGGCAGGAACCATGCAATATACTCCTTTCATGACAATGGGACAGACCAGAGGCTGTTTGTCCCTACCTGCCTGTACATTTGACAGACAAAAGACTGGCCATTTGATCAGTAGAAGATGCCTGAGGCAAGGGCAGAGACTTGCCCATTCTAGTCCTTATTGACTGAGCTGACAGAAGGGAGGGGGGTTGCTTGGATGGAGAATATTCTGGCAGTGCAGCTGGCCGTGTGTTCTCACTTGGCCTGTGTTATTAAGCCAAGATGAGATTCTCCTAGTCTTCCAGCAAAAGCCACTGTTTAAACCAAGCTTGGCTTCATGAGGGTACTGCTTTAGGAGGTTCAGAGGTCACTTGGGGTGTCCCTGTCTCGGGAAAGACCACCTCGGATGTAGGGCACAAGAGGTCTGTTACAGATTACCCCCCAAACACCAACACTTCAGCCTTGCATGCCCTGCAGAAACTAAGCAAATCTGGCAGGGCACAAGTATCATCTGAGAGTGCATTCCATAGGGTCGGGGCCACAACTGAGAAGGCCCTTCCTCTGGTGACAGGTAACCGAGCCACCCTGGGGCTGGGCACCTGCAAGAGGCCCCTGGACGATGACCAAAGGGAGCACAGGGGATTGTAATGGGAGAGGCAGTCCCATAGGTATGAGGATCCCAGACCATTAAGGCTTTAAAGGTTAACACCAACACATTGAATTGGATCCGGAGACTAATTGGTAGCCAGTGCAGCTGCCACAGAATTGAAGTAATATGAGCTGACCATGATGTTCTGGTCAACAACCTGTCAGCTACATTCTGGACCACCTGCAGTCTCCAAAGCATGTTCAAGGGTAGCCCTATATAGAGTGAACTATAGTAGTCCAGTCTGGAGGTGACCATCGCATGAATCAATGTGGCAAGGTCCAACCCAGAAATTACAAATAAGGACCCAGGCAAATAAGGGTTGATATGCATGCTATATTATTTTTTGGCAGAACGCTACTATTATACTATTTTTCTAAATTGCTCTTACATTATCTTAGCATATGTAATTGTTAGGCCAAAAGCAGTGTTCTGGATGCTCGACTGCATAAAGTAAAAATTCACCCATAATCCTAAACAACATTTTGCAAGCTCTATATATTTTTCATTATGATACCTCCCCATTTGAACTAGTGGCATTCAGGGCTTGAGTCATCTACTGAGGTGTTAATATTCCTTAGTGACTTCTGAAAGATGTACTACTACCACCTTCAGGTGCTTTAGCATTAGAAAGCTAGTGCCCAGGGTTTTGCTGTAGCAGTGACTTAGCACAGTAATTCAGAACAAAAATTTGTGAGCTGTTTTATTTCTTCACATAGTCTATTTCTTCCTAATTTTCTAGCAAGTTGCCCAGATTTCACTCACTGGGGAACAGCAAGAGCTACATATTTCCAAGAGGAACTTACATTTGTAGGTAGCGACTTCATGAAGTATTAGCATTATGGCAGGTTTTACTAACCCTAGAATTAGAACTTTGAACAGTTTTGCTGTCCTGGTAACTTATATCAGTAAGCACATTTTTACCACACCTTGGTTAGTGAGTTATAAGCATATTTAGTTTTTAGAGCAGTGGTTCTTTAATTCTTGTAAACTGTAGACCCCCATTTTCATTTACGTTTTTTCACTGATTTCCCTCCTGCCCCTGAACTCTCCCCTCATTCACTGGTAACTGCTGTAAACTTGAAAGTGCCTTTCAGGCAACCATGGCAAACTGCATGCCTTCTTGAGACTCAAAACAATACAGTGAGACCTATGTCAGTTATACTTCAAGAGCAAGTTTAAATAAAATGTCTTGAGTTGTCTGTATATGGCCCACAAGTGTTACACCTCAGGGTAGCTGATTCTATAGGGCCACAACTCAAAAGGCTGTGAATCAGGTTCTAATGAATCTCACCCCTTAAACAGAAGGGACTTTGTGCCAGAGACAGCAAGACGTTTCCTTATTGGTTAAACACCACCAAGGCCAGCTGAACACGGGTCATAAGAGGCCTGGAAACATTTTCCAAGCCGCTCAAAGAAAGTAAAAGACCAGAGTCTCACAGAATCTCAACTTCGGACTGCAAACTTCTGTTGTCTATTATTGCAGAGTGGCATCTCTGTCTCTGTTAAAACCCTGCTCATTGGAAAAGAGAGTGAAAACCAGTTCAGTTTTATACTAGAAGTAGCTATGATGTCTGTCTTAGGTACCTCCTTGGTGTCAGTCAGCCAGTTAGAATTCTTAGGACTAAACTATTTGATCCTAATTAGTATGTTTTCTTGCCATTGCTTTGAGCTGATCTGGAAGCTGTACCAGCTTCCACCCTCTGAAAGCTTGGGAAGTTGATTCCTGCCCTCTAAGGCGGAGAGTTCCTAGAAAACAGAGGATTCCATTTTCGCATTAGTTGGATGAGCACAAGATGAGCTTGCCCTCTGACCTGCAGAGAGCTCATGGATGCCTTGTAGAACCCTCAAAGACCCTAAGAAATGCTCCTTTAGATTATTGTCTGAGTGGTTTGTTGGTTTTTAAAATTATTTGCCATTTGTCAGAACCATTATAGAGTGCAGAAATACTGAGTCTTAAAGTATGATGGTTTTTTGCCACTGGTTTAACTAATACAAGAACATTTTAGAATCTCCCTTCTCAGGGCCAGCCCAAGGTGTTTCTGTGCCCTAGGCGAGGCCAGCTTGTGGCGCCCGCACCCCCCAGGCGATGCCAACCTCCCGGTGGGGCCTGAAGACCTCCCAGAAACATGCCTGGGAAGGGGGGGCACCGGGCGCTACAAGCTAGCCTCACCCTTGCCCGGGCCCACCATCGAGGGGCTCGCTGGCTGGCCTCACCTTGCCTTTCAGATCAAGGATGAAGACAGCGGAGGTGGACATGGCTGGGGCCGGACCTCCTGCTGCTGCTGCGGGCTTCTTCCTCCTTCTCGGTTCCTCTCCAGGTCTCTGGGGGTGGGGGGGAAGGCGAGCGTCCCCGCGGGGGACCCAGCCGGAGCAGCTCTGCTGCCTCCCCCGGGCTCCTCGGCGACAAACGCAGCCCTCGATCCCCACAACCCAGCCGGCGCGCAGATGCTCCACACAAGCGCTCCCCCCCTTCTCGTCGCGTCTTTCCACCACCAGGTCGGGGGGAAGAGCCAGGTTTTGTCCCCTGGCCGCCGGGGCTCACTTCTGACCCTCCTCCTCCCGCGGCCCTGAAAAGCGAATGAGGAGGCTGCCGCCGGCCTCTGTCTCTGATCTGGTCAGTTTTCTTTCAGAAGCTGAGGCTTCCGGAAGAATTCCCAAAAAGGCGATCAGCGGGGAGGAGCCCAGGGAGCGCCGGATCCTCACCTTTTTAGAACTGGCGCCCTGTGACCGGAATCTCGCTCTGCCACTCTCCCTCTCTCGGACGCGGGGGGGGGCTGGGCTGCCAGAAGCCACCTCCTTCTCCCGCAATCCTCATTCAAGGGGGGGGGAGTCCCTTCCGGACTTCTGTGGGCGCGGACCCTGGGGGGCGACCCTCCATCCTGAACCTCTGCCTAGAGCTTGCCTCCCCCCCTGCCCCAAGTCCCCGCTCCAGCTGGGCCCAAGTTCACAGCGGCGGGGGAGAAGCTGGCAGCAGTGGTGGGGCAGCGGACGAAGGGCCTGGGCAGCGCCACGCCCTGCAGGAGAGCCACCGCCACTGTAGTGGCGGTCCCAGCAGCAGGGAGGGCGCAGAGGGGGCAGGCAGGTCCAGTTTGGCGCCCTAAGGGCTGGCCCGCGCTCTAGGCAAATGCCTAGTTCGCCTAGCAGGTGAGCCGGCCCTGTCCCTTCTGGCTATAGTCTTTGTGGTCTACTCTACTGTTACCCACAGGATATTGCAACTGAATGTAACCCAAAGGGGAAGTTACCTTCCTACCCACTTACCTATCCTGAGCATTGAAGCAGTTTGCGCATGTGGGCCCCTTTGCATTCTGGCTGCTATTTCTAGTAAATTTCTGCTTGGTGTTAGTTTCACAAGCAGCTGTTATTAGGAGAACTTCGCAGGGTTTTTATTTATTTACGACATTTATATGCCACCTCTCCAGAACCTGCTCAAGGCAGCTCACAATTAAAACAAGTCAGTAAAACATGTCAAGGTATAAAAGCAGCATAAAACAAAAAGCAGCATGAAAAGAGCTGATTGCTGGTTGCTTTCACAAATAGTGCAGTAATTTCTTCTATGATCAAATAATTGTGTTCTAGTGCCTTTCTATATGGGTGTGATATACAGCGATATATAAGTTCCAAAGCCCACTTATATTATTTTGTTTTAGTAAAACTGTTGTCAAACATAGACAAATTATGCATTGAATTAATTTATAGAACTCACAAAGATGGGTTCTTGTTTTGGAAAGAAAGGTAGGATAAATGTTTTACATATCATCTATGCAAAATTGTCAGTGTATTCAAATCAGTATATAGGTACACGAAGTACAGTGACAGTTGTAATCATGCCTTCTACATGTGTTTAATTATGTCAAACCTGACACTACAGTCAGTGTGGTGGCCAAGAGAACAGCTGTAACTTAGTACCTCTGTGCACTTGAATACACTGTTAATTTAAGCAAATAATTCAAAGCAGGTGTGACTAATATTCATCCTTTAATCAACATGATCTTTCTTTTACTTTGGAATGTCTCAACATGTGTGTGGGTGTGTATATATATAAATGAAATTGTTATAATAAATATGTTATTGGCCTCATTTTTATAACACTGTTTTTTCTTATACAGATAATTCCAGATCCTGCAGGAAAACTGAAATATTTTGGGAAATTTAACTAACCATTTATTTTAAATACACAACTACAAAGCTGCCAATAAAGTTCAGTTAATTTTGATGCTGCTGTGTGTGTTGTCCTACAGATAGGCAGAATATGACACTGATGTGATAAACACTACCGGAAAAGTAACACAAAAAAAATTTAAATCAGTGATTTTAAATTTTGTAAGACCTGTCACTTTACCTGCCAAAGAGTCAAAGTTAACATCATGTACATCCCAATCCTATGCCCATTTTTTCTGATTAAGAACCACTAAATTCACGGAAAGTTAAAATTGTGTTAAAGATTGTAGGCGTAGTCATAGTTTCTGCCCAGTCTTCAGTGTAAACATACTGCCTTAGTATTGGGAACAAAATATTTAGGAAAATAACCTATCACAGAATTTCAGTGGTGAATGTGCAGCATTTGCTGTGCCTAAAAAGTACCAAATAACTGAAGCCCAAGACTCAATAAAGTATCTATTAACACACTTAAATATAACAACATCAAGTTTTAGTTTATACTATGCCTGCCTGGTATAAACTAAAACTTGATGTTATATTTATACCATGCCTGCCTCTCCCTCATGGATCACTGCCTTGTCATGGCGAGGGGGCTTGCGTGGTTCGATGAGGCTGTGGGCTATGCCGTGGAGGGTGACCCAAGACGGACAGGCCACAGCAGAGAACTCAGACCAAGTGTGATCCCCTGGAGAAGGAAATGGCAACCCACTCCAGTATCTTCGCCAAGAAAACCCCATGGACAGTATCAAAAGGCTAAAAGATATGACGCCGGAAGATGAGCCCCTCAGGTCGGAAGGTGTCCAATATGCTACTGGAGCAAGTACCAATATGCTACTGGGGCAAGTACAAGTAACCCCAGAAAGAGTGAAGCGGCTGGGCCAAAGCCGAAACGACGCTCAGTTGTGGATGTGTCTGATGGTGAAAGGAAAATTCGATGCTGCAAAGAACAATACTGCATAGGAACCTGGAATGTAAGATCTATGAATCAAGGTAAGCTTGATGTGGTCAAAAATGAGATGGCAAGACTGAACATCGATATCTTAGGAATCAGTGAACTAAAGTGGACAGGAATGGGCGAATTTAACTCAGAAGACCATTATATCTTCTATTATGGCCAGGAATCTCATAGAAAAAATGGTGTGGCCTTTATAGTCAACCAGAGAGTACAAAAGTCAGTACTGGGATACAATCTCAAAAATGACAGAATGATCTCAGTCCGAATCCAAGGCAAACCATTCAACATCACAGTAATCCAAGTCTATGCCCCAACCACTGATGCAGAAGAGGCTGAAGTGGACCGGTTCTATGAAGACCTCCAACACCTCCTAGAACTAACACCAAAAAATGATGTCCTCAGAACGAGAGAGAAATGGAATAAAAACAATAGTTACATCTTTGGAGCTGGAGTACTAAAGTACTGGAGGGATCAGCCTAGATCCAGCCAGTAGACTTGCAATCAAAATTTGCATAGGCATGCCTGGAGCTTGAGGAGTTAGCTAACCATTCTGAATGACTTCGTCCCACTGAAGAGAAATTACTTTCAGGTAGGTTCCAACGTTTCAATCTCACAAGAGGTGCAGTGCAATGCTTAGAGTTACAACATTCTAAGCCCATAGAAGTCAGTGGGCTTAGAATGGCATAACTGCTTAAGTTTGACTGTTGGTGGGCACTGCAGTGGGTTCAGAGCACCAGGTCACTGATCAACTTATTTTTAGTTGCATAAGAGGCCCAAGTCCTCTTACTGTACATTCAAGCCAATGCACAGTATAATGAACACAGATTAAAACAAATGTTCTTAGTCTTATTGGGAATTAGCCATCATCAGCTCACCCATATCTGATGCTGCAGAAAATGGGTAAACTTCACCTCTCCATGTCTAAGCCATGGATACCGAATGGGACTTGCAAATGCCACTGTCTAGGACAAAATCTAGACCCTCCTGTATAAAAAGGGTGTGGAAGGGCTTTGCATAAGCATGTACTGCAACCTTCCCCTCCTGCCTCTATCCTGGATACATTTTGTTGTTCTCGGGCATTTATGGTAAACCAGGGCGCGCCATGCTTCACGTACAAGTACCCAACAGCTTCCTACCTATGCTACTGCAAACATGCTGCGAAGTGATAGAAGAGAGGAACTGGAAATCTGCACGGCTGCTGGTGGCAATTTGTGGACTGTCCAGAAAGACTATCCTCCCACATGCTAATGCAGTATTGCTCAGGAGAAAAGCTGTTGTGAAGGAGACATGTTCATCTGCTGCATACCTTCCCACAAGTCTCTGCTTAAGCAACAACAGTTGCATTTAAAGACCACTTAATTTTCCTTGGTGATACAGTTCAGCAAATTAAATATTGAAAAAAGTTGTTCAGCAAAGTAACTGAAGTGGTTGTTATCCTCCTGGTGATTTCACTTTAGCTAAATTCAGTTAAATGCTATAGCAATGCTAGGTGGGCATACAATGAGTTCATAATCAGTACATTAGCCTGGCATGTGAAGCTACTTTGTACCAAGTGATATTGTTTGTCCATCTAGCCCAATTTTTCCAGCACTTGTCAGCAAAGGCTTGCTGTTAACCAGAAACTGGACCTGGGACCTGTGTGTGCAAAATATATGGTCCTGTTACATGTACCTAAATCATACAAAACTCTTCTACAATGTACACTGAAGAGAAATGGGGGGTAGGGGTGGTGTTTTTCCCCAGAGAAGCTTGCTGCTGATTTTCTCATGAAACCCCTGATTAGCTTCCAGGGGATTCCAGACTGTCCTTGAACACAGTTCGAAAATCATTGTTTAAGCAAATAATCAGAAAGCTCCTTATTATTGGTACTAGTTTATTACTTGTTCCATTTATATCCCAGCTTTCTTGTATGGAACTCAAGATAGAGTACTGACTAGACACAGAGCTGATAAGCTTCAGCAAAGCTGCTGCATCCCGTATCTTCCAACTAAAATTGGAGGATAGTATTGGTGGTGTCTACAAAAACAGGCAGATTACTTCAGCCAAATATTTTTATGAAAGCATACACATGGTCTGGTCAAACATTTCAACATCTGATGTAACTGGTTCAAAGGTTACAATCATGACTGCTTTCCGCTTAAATGAAGAACATTTCAGCAAGTTACTGGTTGCAGATTCTTCTTTTAAAAACTCTACTATTCTGTGTCCCTCGCTTCCTCCTTTTCTGCATAGTTTGTGACGTCAGCAAAAAACAGGCAGATGGCAGCAGCTTTCATAACATTCTACCATAGGAATAATACGGAAGACTTGCCAGCATAACAAATGGAATTTGTACAAGAATATGGCATTGCCTGGCAAGCCTTCACACTTTTTTATCCATAGAATGACAAGCTCGGTGGAATAAGAAACAACAAGCTATATAGGAATATGTAGGTTGGGATAAAGGACATGAAGTTACCTGCAGACCTTGCATGTATAATTAATCTTTTTTCAGGTGCTGTACATGATTGTTCAATTGCCTATAAGTCAGTAATAGCTGAGAATTTTAAAGACAATAATCTAATGGCATATGGATAGGTTTTCAGGAAGGATAAGACAAGTGTGCAGGATAAGAAGTGTGCATGCACACGAAAGCTTATACCCAGAATTAAATTTTGTTGGTCTTAAAGGTGCCACTGGACTCAAATCTTGTTCTATTGTTTCAGAACACAGCTACCCACCTGAATGTATTTACAACCACAATTTTGTATCCTGACTCCTATGCAGTGGCTGACTGCTATGCAGATAGGCAAATCGGCCCAACAGGATCAGCCACAACTATGATTTAGGGTTCTGCAAACCCAGCAGAACTCCCAGGTTTACATAAGACATTTTTAAAAAGTTATTTTTAAGTAGAAACACCCCCCAAACATTAATAGCAATGTTTCTGCAAATACTGCAAAAAGCTTAGTATTTTAGGTTGCTAAACTCAAAAGGGCTCCTCATGTCACAATGGCAGTGGCCACCACCAGGAAGAGGTAGCTAGGCATAGGGAAGTGCGCTGGTACCAAGAGGGGGAAGCTTGAGCCACAGCCAACACAAAGCGGAAGAAGGGACACATGGGATTTCCCTCCCATGCAAGTCTCTGTACATCCCTCTCTTGTTTTATCTTACCCACCCACCCTATCAGAACCACAAGTTATCATTTTATTGATTATTTATTCTTCAATTAAGAAAAAAATATACAAAAGATGAGAAATAGCAAAACTAACTTAAAACTTTGTATATTTGTATATAAAAGTTGGAGGTGTTTCTGCATTCATGATCATGTTTTTCAGGAGTAGAAATGTTGCTCCACCCTTTGATAAGCTTCCAAATCTTAGTGAAGACCTTCCAAAGACAGCCTTTTTGCTATACAGCTGCATGGCTATTATGCCCTGGTTTCTTTCATAGCTGAATCAAAATGCCGCTTCCCGTCTAAATACAACATGGATTCTGAAAAAAGAGAAAGTGTTCAGAGCATCTACAGTAGCTAAAAGGAAGTCCTCCGCATAAGACAACATGGGTGATTACTTGCACCATGCGGGCCTCTGAAGGGTTTTCTAATTTTTTTTAAAGCCTACTTGTTCTTACAGTTGGGATGAAAGTGAGTGTCACTCGTCTCCATTACCCTGGGAATGCTTTAAAAGTTCCATTTTACCGTTAGGGAAGCATCATGGAACAGGATTAAGTCCTAACTAAATATTTTTCATAATATTATACATGAGTACAAGCCACAAATTATGTGCATATAGAAGTGGACTATGATAGTAATGTACAGTCACTGAGTTATTTATAGTTTATCCTGAAGTGTATAGTTTATCCTAAAGACTGCACAACTGGGGCCCACATCCTGCAAAGACTTTACAATAAACAATAGGCCAGATGAACCCAGGAGGGACAGAAGGAGGAGGAAAGTGCAAAACTTTAAAATACTGAGCTAGGGAGGAGTTTGATTAATATTCCGTTTCAACAGCAAAAAAGGAACAATTCTTCCTAAGGGAGACTTCTCAGTCAGAAGACTGTATCTGAAGGGGCCTGAGTTTCTTATTGATACTGAGGTAGGATCATCCATACTCAACAACAACACATTATAGTAAACCATAAGCAGAGAGCAGAAGCAACTGAGGAAGTGGGATGATTTATATGTGGCACTGAAGAAGGAATTAATAGCCATAAGTGAAAGAAAGGTAGTCAGATATGGGGAGCGCACACAGAAACTACCATCCACTGGCTCTGTACGTATGCTGCTAATTTGTAGTATTTTGATGGATTTTGTAAACTGCCTTAAGGTCCATCTATGGTGGAAAGTAAGTCTTTTAAGCAAGTAAATTATATTGTTCACACATGTTTAATACACTTTCAGGTGGGTAGCCGTGTAGGTCTGCTGTAGAAAAGCAAGATTTAAAGTCCAGTAGCACCTTAAAAACCAACAAGATTTCCAGGGTGTAAGCTTTTGAGAGTCAAAGCTCTGACTCTCCAAGTTTATACCCTGGAAATGTTGTTGGTCTTCAAGGTGCTACTGGACTCAAGTCTTGCTCATCTAATGCACTGGAGTCAACGGGAGATCACACGCAGTGAAATCATGAAGCTGTAAGCCCAAAGTGGCTCTTATTTTTGCTTTCAATTATACAGGTATCTGAGACGGCCTCGCTTTCTGGAGTCCCTGAGAAGGCAAAGAACAGGCCCTAATCTTCTAGTATTCAAAGGTAGACACAATCTAGGAACAAAGGTATGACTCCTCTGAAAAGAACAGTCTGTAGTTTTCCTCCTGCCCCTTATTACTTCATGTTCAAGGTAATTTCAGATGAAGAACCCAAATGGTGGCTGTTGGTAATTCCACTGAGCTGTCACTCCACCCATGGGGGAACTGACCAATAGCAACGTGCTCCTCATATGGACACAGCTTGATCTCATAAGCAGCCACCAAAGAGTGCTCAAACCCCTGGCCCTATGATCCTACAAAGTTCGAGAACCACAGAAAAAATATGTCATAATAATGTGTTATATACATGTACAGTATAGGGTGGCGTGGCATGTTTGGCTGAGAGGAAAGACGTGTTGCGGTTGAGCTCCCGGTAGAAGGTTAAGAAAGTATAAAGAAATTCCTTCCTCTGGAGATAAAAATGTCAAAACCAAGCTCTGAAGACCTTTAATCTTGTTTGTTATGAAGAGAGGGAGAAAAAAAAGCGTCTGGAATTTGGCAGAGCAGAAAGACGAGCAGATAGCTAAGTAAGGAGCTGAGAGAAACTGCTATGGCCACTTCAGACTCTGAAGCAGAAAGTGAAACCAAGGAAATGAAGGTAATGAAGCCTAAAGACTTTCAATTAGAAGTTAAGAAGGGTGTAGAAGGAGCAAAACATAGCATTACCAAAGCTGTAACAAAAATAGTGGATGAAAAAATATCTAAGTTAGCAGACGCCGTGGAAGCTATGGCAGAGACGGTGAACTGTACATGGGAAATGGCTCAGGCAAATGAGAAGAAAATTAATATGTTACAAAAACAGTCCAGACAGTTGAAAAAGCATAATAAGTATATTGAAGATAAATTAATGGACCTGGAAAATCAGGCCAGGAGGTCAAACTTACGGCTGAAAAATATTCCAGAAACAGAGGATATGGAGAAGGTGATTGAATGGATGGCTGAACTGCTCCCGGATTTAGAAATTACAAAGGAAGTTTTTGATCATATTCACCGTGTGGGGAGGCAGACAGCCGAGAAGATTAGGCCTAGAGATGTGGTAATGTGCTTTGGAAAATATGCATTAAAGGAGCAAGTGCTCAAGGACATGAAAGCTTTGGATAACTTATCGTTATTGTATGAGGATAAGAAAGTGCTGGTGTTTGAGGATCTATCACAAGAAACAATTAAAAGGAAGAGGAACTTAAGAATGTTTACTAGAGTGCTGCAGGAGAAGAGAATGAAATATACTTGGAGAATAGCACCTTTTGCTTTGAGAATGTTATATAAAGGAGAAATTTTGTTTGCAGATCAGAAGCAAATGGTGGCCTTATTTAAAGAAGAAAGTGATTTGGAACAGAAGATCGAGAACACTGAGAAATAACAAGAAGAAGAAAAACAAAAAGAAGGATGAAAATAAGAGTTGGGACTTCAGAGAAAGGGTCAAGCCTAAGAAATGATCAAGAAATGAAGGACTAATGAAGAAGGAAAGAAGATAAAAGAACCGGAATAGCTGAACATGGACAGCTTTCAGTTTATATTTATTGGGAGTGGTGCCTTTGTTCCCCCCCACCCAATATGGATGCTAGGGGTTGTTGGTTGTTTGGTGTGAGAGGTGGAATGAATGGGGAAGTGAGGGGTGAATGGAGGGTAGTTGGAATGTTGCTGGTATGTGTGGTTTGTGTGATTGTGGAATGGTTGAAAGAATGGGGTAAAGGAGGTGAATGGGTTGTTTATGAATGGAGTAGGAAGGTGGGTGAATGCATATTGGGAAGTGTTTCAGATACAAGAGATATGCCAAGTGTAGTGGCATATAAATTTTCTCTTGGCTGGGTAGAATGGGATTGGGTGTGTAGGTGTTGGGTAAATAAGCACAGACTGGTGGGGTTGGGAATGGGAGGTTGGGGACCGATATTCCAGGCTGGTAGAGAACAGAAAGGACATGGGAAAGAGAAATGGTCAGTAGGTATATGAGAAAGAATGTAAATATTA